AACAATAAAATAGTTGAAGCGGCAAGGATAGTAAACTCCCTAACAACATGCCAATTAAGAACAAAGTTACCTAAGGTTCGATCCCCATATGCAGCGCAGAAGGTCCTGAATACCCACAAAAATGTGACAAATAGAGATATATCCATGTCTTGTCTTAGCCGATACGTGTCTAGCAGGCCGTTCACATGCATCTGCATCCTCGGGGTAAAAAACTTGACATACTGAGAAATCGCACGAAAATGCCAATATAAACACTCGATAATGGTAACCACGTGGCCAGCGGTTTATTTCGAGGATAACTGATGGCGTCCAGATAACACTCTCTTGAGAGGGGATAGTTTATTTATGCAGCTGTGATATCGCTATTGAAACAATTTACGATCGTAGGGCTAGGGCCGATCCGATTGTATGGGAAGAGATACGGATCATGTTGTTGAAAAAGGGAATTAATCAAAAATCCACAGCGAAAGAAAAAATCTTGGGAGATAAGATCAAGAGCATAAACAAAAAAAGCAGCTCTCAGAATCCAGATATACCCTTTGAACAGCAAAGAGATGAAGCCTAGGCACACATTCACAGGACAGTCACAGAAATACCCGCTCGACTAGCCCAGTCAGCTCCACCCCTCATCCAGGCGGCCCCGCCCACATGTACTGCTTCTGAACTAGGCGCGCCAGCCGGACTGGCAACAAGGCTACATGTAATGCGGGCTCATTATAGGACGGCCAGCTATAAAGAAACGAAAGATGCCGCACTCCTATGAAAAAGTGGAGGAACAACATGAAGAAAATAACTGAAGAGAAGTCGACGAGCGTACAGGAAAACCCGTCCCAGCATGGGATAGACCGCACCCAAAACAATATTTTAACGGATGGAAGATGTGGAGCACTAGAGCAAAAAAGGTACTTACCGTTTTTCTTCTCGGCCAAAAGATCGTCGGCTAAGAACCAAGCTAGCGTTTTCGAACGTGATGTTGGTGGATGTATCGGCGGCATTACCGGCTTTATTGGGCCTCCGTAAAATCTAAAGTAAATTTGGTCATTTGCCCTGAAATTTTAATAGTTTTGTTATCGCAAGTTGATAAATTCCAAAAAAACTCCAATTGCTGTTCACACATATCAAGCATTCGAAGCTAGTTCAACCCAACGTTAGATAGACGCTCGCTTTTCAAGCTTTTAGACATGCTATGCCATTAAAGAAGCACCATAATTCCTTTATCGATACATCCTTGTCTACTTCACAAGATTCAAATAAACACTTCTTATTTGGCAACTCAGGAGCCGCAACTATCTATCGCAAACTTATGCTCCCCATTAAGGATACTAACTACCAAATCCTCAAGTTTCTTAATACCTAAGTGATGAATACAAAACAAATTGACGACTTTTTCTTATGTGCGAAGGATGTTCTCTGCGCTATTCCTGTAAACATTTTTGTCTACGAAGAGAGATGCATCGATGACTTTGGCTCTACCCCAAAGAACGATCAAGAAAGATTTTTATGACATTTTTAGCTTTTGAAATCCTTTGAGCCTAATCTCAAGTGGTTCTCCACTGTCAAAGAAAGTGAAAGCAATATTTCCCTCCAATTGTGAAATAAGAATCGATTCAAAGTACTTAAACATGAGAACTATTTACCGCTTTTAACGGGTGTTTTAATCTTTGGCAGATAACTTGAATGTCACAATAATACTGCAATGTCACAAAATGGCTATAAAAACCAATTTCAAATA